GCTGATTCAGTTACGGGTTAATTCATGGAAACTTGAAACTCGGCTATCGAAAATTGGTCTTTGGTTTCGAGGAAGATATACTCGGAGGTTGTAAAGATTCCACAATCGGCTGTCATGAATGAATGGTTTCGCTTCCGAGTTTGGATAATCCTCCCATTTTCATCTACTGGATAAATCATGAACATTGTTCTTACGCAATTCTTATTTGATGTTAAACTCACCTTTTGTAATATAAAATACTTTTCTTTTTCTTTTTTTTTTCCTTTCTACCACACATAAACCCTTTTGCATCTTTTGTATATTTTTTCCTTTTAAAAAAAAAACAAACGAAATCGAGAATTATAGTATTGATTTCAAAAAAAAGTATTACTCTCTCACATTAGTAATAAAGTAGGTCTATCTGTTTGTCTGCAGATTCTTCAAAGCCAAGAAGAATGAGCACATTTGGTGTAGAGTGGCTGTTTCATATGCTGTATCAAAGTATTATAATACTGACGTAATTGAAACCGGTTATGCCGAGAATGCTATTCTTATTCTCTGAACGCTCTTTTGCAAATGACTTATTTACCGTGGGACTCGAACTTACCTCGAGCTGAATGACGCAAACAAGCATGCTTTTAGCTTCCATGCATGTATACGAGAGTCCTTTCATTCCCAACTCTACTCATAGTGAGTTGCATACTAACGGGCTGGTTGCATGAATATTGAGGAAAATTGGATGAGGAAAAGAGGGGTGAGCAGAGAGTGTGGGGCGGGGGGGGGGCGGGGGATAATCATTGTCGAGTTGATATGACGCACAAAGCTTTTCGAACCATTTGAATGCTTTTCCTTGCATAGTTAGGTTGTGCCAGTGGGCGTAAACTATGAATATGAAATACAGCGAATCGGAATGCTTAATATGTCGTAATGTCTCTTTTAGGTGATGGTAATAGAGTTATTGAGAAAGAGGGTTAAATGAGGGGGTGGGGCATCATGATAAACAAGGAGAGCATGGGGGGGTCGTTTGAGATTTCGAGAGTGGCGAGTGGACCAGGTTGTAGCCCATTGTCACGTTTCACATCTTTATAAAGTAAAACCTTTATATACAATTTGCACCACTCGAGTCCATTCTATTTATATTAGGTAATCAAATAAAGGAAGCGTGACGTATTGTAAAACATGGTATTTAATGAGCCGTTAATGTGAAATGAATGAACGGGTTTCACTGCAAGAACAACATAGTAGATTATCTTCTTTTAAACTCAAAGTTTAGGTTATTTATTTAGTTTATGTAACTATTTGTGCCTTTTTAGTTAGTAGAAAGTGACGAAACACAAGAAATATTCCCAATATTCCAATTGTGATCAAGGTCTAGAACATTAGAACACACTATTTATTACATTTACTAATGTTCTAAAAAAACATACCCAAATCAGAGCGTCCAAACTACAACACATGCATTTGCCCGGGACAGCACGTCCAGAAAAGTTGTATATTGGGCTTTTTGTGTAGCAAAAATGATTGTCACGTTTTTATCATGCTAGCAAATACGCTCTGATCGAGAATGAGAATGTACCATATGGGGGGATGTTAACCGCCATCCGGGTTCATTAATGATTACATTATTACTCCGTGGTATTTCCAATCAAGTCATTCTGGCAAATGCACCTTGAATACTAAATATATATACTCTTGGCAAACGAGAAAAAGTCTTGTATGACAACGCCCAATGTCACTGTATTGTGTTTTATTTACGAGTTTCAGCCAACTTGGTAATTTTCTTGTCGGCCTAAAATGGTTTCCTTGAAAGTTCCTTGTACAACTTGATCTCTGTCTTTGTGAACCATATATGAACATTTGGACAGTCGACTAAACAATCGATTGTCAATCTTCTTCAGTCACTGATCGATTTGTACGCATGGTACACGGTGATTATGTTATTGACATGCTTTTTCAGCGAGACCCTGCTTACTTGCTAGCATACATATACAGGTCGATCACTTGTACATTACGTCAGAACGCGACACAAAAAGACTTTATAGACTATAATGCTTATTTTCTGGAACTGATTAACAACTGCCATATGTCATGGGATTATATCCCGCCCAAATGCAAACATTCCAGCAGCATAGATGTCAGAATGAGTGCTGACAGAAACAATTGTAACATCACATATTTAACTAATCTCGAGACAGAATTTGATATATAAATAATATGTGAAAATTAATTTATAAATATAAAGGCTGCTGCTTTGAATAAAAAAAATCTTGAACATGGTTTGCGAGAATTACAACCAATTTGTGGATTACTAGTTGATTACATACTGATTACATACAGGCAGAATTATACAACTCTTGTAGTTGTTCGCACCAGAAAGAAAGGTAATGTCACTTATTTATTATTGTAATCACATGTCGCGTTATTAAAGAGTTTCGCATACTATACACGTAGAAATTGTCCCCAAACATTATAACAACGTTGAACACATCCGAATCTCATATTGTTTGAATATAAAATCATGTTTGAATCTATCACTGTATGCAGTGGATCATGTTAAACCGTCCTAAAATTGGCTAAAATTAGAATGTTTGCTTCAACATACCCATTAAATTTACCTACACACATGCATGTCAAAGCCACCAACACGGACGTATTGGTTTGAACATCAAGGACTGGCATGGACAGAGGCTGTTGATACATTGTTTATCGAATCGGATTGAATTAATTGCGTTTCTTGTTAGATACAAATATCGAGTACGTTACAGAGCAAAAAACTATATCATCTGGAAACACGACGACTGCAACATTTTAATATTGACTTGACAATCTTTAGATTACATGTACTCCTAGATTTAATATAAATAAGGACAGATATGAAAGTCATAAAGGACCGTGTAAAGTAGCACTTTGGATTATAAAAAGTAACCGCATAAGTGTTTATCGACATTACTGAGTTTTGCGCAGTCAATAGAACATTACTTTGATACTTGTGAGTGACATGTTGAATTACTCTTGCAAAGATATTATAACACGAAGAATGACCATGAGATGCAAAAATTGAGATAATTTTTGTGTTTTGTGCAAACTTTGGTCTATTTTCACCATACAGTAGACTTTCGTTATGAAATATTGTGTACTTCAAATCAAATACATGAAAATAGTCTGTATATAGCAATACCTTTCCCAATGATAAAATTATCAATACCTAATATTGTCCCGATATCGTATCGCAATAGCGTGCGTATATGTCGGAATGGTCTGCCTTTTACATTATGGATGGAAGAAAAAGCTTTATGACAGTCCATTATTCATAAAATAATCAATATGCTTATATGCATGTTATGCAACATACAGTATATTTTATATTCAAAAAGAAGGTTATAAGCAAAAATTAAAGAAAGTGTTGAATAAATCCTTTTTCTCTAAGCATTTAATCACTTGATTAAGTGGTAGTCTTCGAAATTAATCATTGAAGAAATAAACGTTTAGTTTGAAATTAACTAATAATGTATGCAAAATCGATTTCCCATCGTGAGTATATATGTAGTGTAGAATAATTTGATCAGGTAATTCAACATGTGCAGATTACATACACAAAGTATCACATACTGTATTTAGTACTACCTTAGTTCATGAATAGCATTACAGAATTTTGTATGCTGTTACAAAAGTACAGGGCACACGCCGTTACGCATGAGAGGTTGCCCGAGTTTTCCTTCCCACTTTTATTTGCCATCCCACTTAATATTCAAGGTGGTCAGAAACAACAAATTAACAAATAGAATATGCTTGCCCGAATATAAGAAAAACCAATTAAACGTGCAGGTGCAGCATCGATGCATGCTCTGGTAACAATTTAGACCGGCCTTTTGATTAGATAAGTGTGGACTAAAATCTGCGTTTAATTTTTAAGAACCAAATTCAAATCGAATATTGGGTAGTAGTAGTAGTAGTAGTATAGTTTTAGTAGTAATAGTAGTAGTAGTATAGTTTTCAATTAAACGTATTTCAGGAAACAAGTAAACGAATTCTATTGAACAGCATCGCTCACATGAAAAGGTCAGCACTGACTATATATTTGTCGACGTTGCAATCGGGAAATAAAAGAGGTACGGAAAATAATTGCACGTTGCACAATGACTTAGAAAACAAGACATTCCTAATATCCATTTTCGGCATATAATAATTCTGGTCATTTATTAATGGCCATTCCAACCCTCAGGCCTGTAAGTTTTCGCATTGGACTGTTTGTGGGCTCTTTCACAGCTGATTCTTGAATCGCCCTTTTTGTAATGATTATGGGTATGTTAATTGTTATTTTCTCTCTCCTTTTCTTTCTCTTTCTCTTTATGCTTAGGATGTGATGTGTAAACATTGGTCACATGTTCGTACTTTTGGGGAATGTGCCGAATAAATAATAAACAATAAACAGGTAAAAATTACAGGCCAAAGTTTGAGGTGATTTTCTTCCCACTTGCGTTATCCTCTTGATTTACAGATCTTCTTTCATCTATTATCGTAACAAAGATCTTCTTCGCGCTTGCTTCCATAATTGTGCATGTGATATCGTAATGTCCCCCCAAAATTAAAATCCCACAATGCCAGCATTATCACTTGGGAATAATAAGGGCGAATTATAATGTCAACAATGATTGCACAATCAATACAAAAAAAATTTTACGCCCCCACCCCCTCCCCCCCCCCTCCTTACCGTAAATTTCGACGTGATTTTTTCCAAAGTACGTTTTCCACTTAGAGATCGTCACTTTTGTCAACAAACAGCTACGCCCGCTCCATTCCACCCAAGCACAACTTCATCCTCACATACCCACATCTATACACAATGACAACAATCGAACACAACTCACAACAAACAAAACATAATAGCCAGGCAGCAGCCACGAACGTAGCAGATGCGGAAGAAGTCAAACAACTGAAAAATATGTATAAAGATGCGTTGGGACACCTGAAGGAAGTATTTGCTGAATGGTCAGAAGAAGACTTACTCTTCACCCTTCAGGACGCTGAAGGTGACCTCGAAACGGCGGTTACCCGAATTAGTGAAGGTAGGGTGAAGAGAAGATGTGACTTGTAGCATATTACTTTAATAATAGAGAAAAAGTTGGCTCATGGAACCTACGCAAGTCGACCACATGAGACAGAACACGGACATACTATGTAGTTTATGCTGGAACAACAAATAGCACCCCCCGTATGATAAAACGGACGTGCAAAAAGAAACAGGCCTGGCTGACAGCTACACACAAGACTTAGCCACGAGGGAAATATCGCTCAGCGATGAGCTCAACTCAACTGGCTCTTTTAAGCCTTGGCCTACTTTCCTTTAACCATAAATAAACTTTATCGACAATATCCAATTATACACGATCTTTCCAACCCATTCGACCATCCTGTACACTGTTATCGTATTCAATCGCGTTTTGCTGTATTAGCAAGAGTCCCCTCTACGACCAGACATCTAGTCCTCTCACGATGTTTGCAATGAGTGACGATTATTTATTCAAACGAGCCATCGGTCTACATTCTATTTCATTAGTGCAAGAAAAAAACGCGTATCGTTCTCGTCAAATTATACTTCACTCATTTGCTTTTAATCTTCCCATATTTTGATGCCCAACATAGGCCACGCATGCCAATGGGATAAAGTAAAATCGAAGAAAACTAAAAAAGAATCTGGTCCAAAGTCTAAGACTAACGGACCACAACCCGGTAATAGCCAGCGCGGACATCAGCGTAACAATGATCGCAGTGACCGTGGCGAACGCAACGAGCGTAATGACCGTGGGCGGCCCCGCAGCGGTAAGTCGTGAGCGAAAGGGGGAATGGCGAGGAAAAGAAAGAAACAAGTTGATACTCGGTTTACAAATAGGATGATGAAATTAGCTGCACACTATGATTCGTATACGTATTTTGACTTTAATACAACACTTGCCTATAAACAAACACTGATTTTTAATTTATATCTCTCCATAGATGCATCGACCCGCAGCGGAAGGCACCACGCAAGCGACACTCCCCGTCATGGCAACAAAACCCGCGAAAACGGTGCCGCCAACGCAGGTTGGTCTCGTCCTTTTATCACCATCATCATTTCTCTCCCTGATCGTTGATTTGCAATATCCAATATTTTGATGTTGACATCCAATGTAGGTTACCAACGTCCGCCACGTCAACTGAACGGTCCCAGCCAGCACGAAGATAACAACTCTTGGAGCAAACCAAGAAGTAATAACCATCGCGCAGCGAAAGATGGAAATCGAGGCTCTCATGGTATGAATACGGATAATCGAGGAAAAGGTGCAGAAGACGATGCATCGAATGGGTGGAAGACTGCTGACCCTGTTGCCAGTGACGCTAATTGGGGTGATAATGCCGGAACTAATAATAATGGTAATTGGACTAATACGCCCGGTGAGAGTAAAACAAATGATTCATGGGACAATCCTGTAAGCAGCGGCGAAGCATGGGGTACTATAGAACAGCAAAAAGATACCTGGGGTACAACAGTGGATAAGGTGAAAGATAATAATAGGGTGGTTGAAAGTCAGAAGAGCGAGAAAACATCATCAGGATTGGGCCAGAAACCAAGGACAATAACTAGTCCGACTATGTCATGGGCTCAGATCGTAAAGTGCGTATTTTGTATTGTACGGAAGTTTGAAAACAAAATTCATAAAATTCTGTATATCTTTCGGATATTTCCAATGCTAAAACGTTAGATGTTGACAGCTGCATGAATGGCATATTTGATTTCTTAATGTATTTAGATTCATTATTAATATTTTATTAACGCTTTGATACCTCTTTAGCAGAGATGATAACAAGCCCGAAATCAAACAAGAGTCACTTTCAGCACCAACAAAAATAGCGCCTGAAGCAAAGAAACCATCTTCTCCGCAGCCATCAAACTCTCAAATAAAATCTCCCGCAAAATCACCAGCTAAATCGCCTGCAATAGGACAGATAACACCTAGTCATACGGAAAGCGAACCTAATAATGAACCTCCGGCAAAGGCACCTTCACCTCGTCCGTCAGCAGCAGCTGCTGCTGCTGCTGTGTCGACTCCTACAAAAGTAGAAGAGAGTATACAGACTGTAAATGATTTGACACAATCAGAACAATTATCCGTCTCCAATATATCTCCTTCTGTCACAATCCCTTCACCACGTACTAAAGAAGCAACGCCATCGAATGCTCACAAGAGTAAAACGACTACCAATCGTCGAATGAGACAAGTTGCTGCAGTAGTTATGCCAAGTGCCGGTGCGGATGTAGAGAGGGTTAGCGTACAATTTGGTAATATGGATTTATTGAGTAATGCCAATGATAACAACGACGCGGACAAGTTATCGATGAATGTACCCCACAAGTCTGAAGACAAGATTCAGACTAAAACTCAGACGGCCGTTGAAGCCCAGACATCGGTCGCTACTCAAGCACAAGCGCAATCTGCTCAACAACATTTACCTCAACCACAATCGTCTCCACAAACATTACAATCATCTCCACAGCAACATGCAAAGCAAACTCAACAGCCGCAATCTGCTGTTCAGGCCAATCAGTCTAGCATTCTTCAGCAACAACAACAACAGCAACAACATCAACAGCAACAACAGCAGCAACAGCAGCAACAACAGCAGCAGCAGCAGCTCCAACAGCAACAGCTCCAACAGCAACAGCTTCAACAGCAGCATCTTCAGCAACAGCAGCAGCAGCAACAACAGCAACAGCAGGCATCCGCTCAGCCGACACCCGCTCCACAAGCACAACAGCAATCTGCAGTTGCCCAACAATCGCAGCAACAATTATCACAACAACAGCAATCTCATCAACAGCAACAACAACAACAACAACAACAACACCACCAACAGGCAACTCCTCAGCAAACAGCTTCTGTTCCTGCGAGTCGCCTTGCGTCTGTTCAAAGTGTTCTTCCCTCTGCTAATAATGCACCGTCAGCTAATCCGGCAGTATTTGCTACGAATTATTTTAAACAACAACAAGAGCAATCAACCGCAGCTACTGCCTATCTTGGACAACAGCATCATGTAGGTATTGGCGAACCGCTTTCATCTCCATATGGTTCATATCTGCCGAGTCAGCCTCCTAATCAGATGTCGCAGTTTACTCTCGCGCCAGCTTTGCACGAGTATGGTGCTATGTATCCAGCCGATGCGTCTCGCTTGATGGGTTACTATCCTTCTGGCGATCCGAACGCTGGCTATGGACAAGCGTCGCCTGTTGCCGCTGCTACATATGGAACACGTGATAACAATAAATATGCTGCAGATACTCAGACATCGTCTAGTGCTCAGCCTGGTAATCAAACATCGGCATCTCAGCAAGGATCCAATCAGCAGCAAGTGCAAAATCCACAGGCACAGCAACCTCCATATCCAATCAGTACTAACATGGCACCATACTATACTGGGTATTATTATGTTGGAGCACAGTTTCCTAATTATGGACAATCGAGTTATCAACCATTTGTAGGTAAATATCCGATGCATCCATACCATCATTCTACCAAGCCAGGATCAGCATCTGGCCCGTCTGCATATGGATATCCTACGACTCCGACAACGCCCAGCACACCCCATCATTATTCTCACACATCATCCGCCGGATACGAAGAGGTTGCTGGTAGCAACGTACATCATCTGCAAGGCGTTCCTGGAATGCATGATTATCAGAAAAGCTACGGAACCAATATTCCTCAACTGCAGAGTTTCCTAGGCAATAGTGGTGCGAACAATAATCAATCTTCGGCTTCTAGCGCTGGTTCTAATACACCAACTAGCAAAGGAACTAATAACAACAGTTCGGACTTGTCAGCCACTCAATACAAGAGCTATACCGATAAACCCTCCGCTGCAGGGCAGAGTAGCGTAGGACAGACTGGTGGTCATCAGCCACAGCAACAGAATAATCCAAACTATTATGGGCAGCAAACCCAAGGAGGACAAATGTTTAATAATTATCAGTATCAGCAAGCTCACCACCAGTTCCACCCACATCATCAGACTACTAATCGAGGGCAGCAATATTGGAGTCAACAGAGCTAGAGCCAGCAGCAGGAGAGACGATAAGACTGGAACATTCACTGGGCGGGGCGGGTTGGTATAGGCGGAGGACTAGGAGCGCGTTTGGCAAAGATAATATTGTAATCCTTCGGCATAAAAATAAAATAAAGGCTACGGCTGTTGATGTGGAAGTGCGAATGACGATTATATGTGCAATGTATGGATATTCAGCGTGTAATCGGTTTTACTCGATTGGGATACTCGGGGAGGAGGGGTTAAGCTAACCCTATTCTCATTATTGTTTAATACTATAATAACACTCTCTGGATGAAAGTTGGGCATAAAGGATATATGGGCGGGTAAAAATAGACTCTTTCTCCCATTTAGAAACTATTTACGGCGACCTTTAGTTATTAATGTTAAATCATTTGGCACATTATATTTGTACATGATCGCTATTCTTTACTCATTTCCTATTTTTTTTTTCTCTTTATATTGTTAATATTCAAAAGCATTTTTTAGTTTTTTCTTTTCTTTCCTTTCTTTTTTTCCTTTTTCTTTTTTTCTTTTCTTTTGGGCCATGTTTTCTCCCTTCTCCTGTAAAGTTTTTTTCCCTTTGTTCTGATTTTTCTTTTCGTTTTCTGTTTCCATGTTTTCTTCTGTAAAGCATTCATATTCAACTATAGTGGGACACATATTCATTGCGTAACAACACTGTCGAACCCAACAAACTCATTAAAATTGAATTCTGATTAGTGGAGACTGTTTAATGTATATAATAGGCGATTGGGTTGTAGGGAATTAGCCTTTCGTTAGTGAACAATATAGCGTCAGGAGGCAACGCCATTTTTTGTCATGCTATCACAGATTTTGGCTTGGTTTATAATTCTGTTGTTCATCTATAACTATTCGATTTACGCTATAAAGTTATATTAAGAATGAGTCCTTTTGTGCGAATAATTTTAACCAAATAAAACCGTTTCCCGATTTCAAATCTAAAAGTCAGGAACACCTTTGAGTAATTGCAGAAATTATAATAAATAGGATGAGATGACCAATTATTGTCAACTCTGACGCTGGGAAAACTGCTAGTCTTTGTGTCTTTGTTTTTACCGGTTTCATGTTCACTAATTTTAGAAACTCATACAACAATTACAATGACAGCTTGATTAAATCTTCAGAATTTAGTGAGGTAGAATCAGATCCAATTGACACTGTTGATTCCGCTGTTTGACCGTTTGACCGTTTGACCTGTTGATCGGAATGGAGTATGTGACATTTCGCGATCAATCATAACATAATGAGCGGTAGCATCAACGCTACTATAATCAGCTTTACCTCTTACTATAAATGCTTATCTACTAATTTCCTCTGTTTTGTCCTGCTAATTTCATTCTCTTTAATTTAGCTCTAACTAATATTCTTTGTATCTTTAAATAAATTTTCGCTTCTTCTCCTTACAAGCATTATACTGTGAGCAATTCCGAAAATGTTGACACGCGTGTCGCATAAATCCCGTTCGTGGACTCATAATTTGAATACAAGGCGTTAATTGGCGAGATGTATCATGTTTTTAACAATTTTAACGCGTTATCATTTTCAAGACCTGCACTAAAATCACGATAGACTGATTCGTAACTGGTTTCATCTGGCCCAAGTGTAATCTGGTTGATATTTCTACCAGGACTTTGTAATCATGTATTCAGCATAATTCTCGAGAACATGTTTAATTCTGGTTTTCATCGCGTGTTCGTTTTATGTTACGAAGGGGCGGATTATTAGTCCGCATGTTTGTTGCAAGACGTCAACTGGGTATTACTTCTCTACCATTCATTGCCCTACCGGTAAGAGTGATCACTATGAAATTTAGCCGATTAACACGGCTGGCCGTCATGTAATAAGTAAGCTTGTTCGTGATATAAGTTTTATAAGGGTTGCATAATTCTGAGTGAGATATGTTTCGTTACGCCAAGGGTACAGATTTTAAAAAAATTTATCGCTGAAAGTTTTGCTATAATGTAACTTAAAAAAGTCATTACTAATTATCTTTTTACACGTTTTAAGATATTTAAATGCAAAATTTCGAAATTTTGTTTAGGGAATAATAATTAAATATGTAAGTTCTTAAAATTGCCAGAATCTAGACACAGTGATTATTAGACGCGTCTCCTTATTGCTAATAACTTTAATTAATACCTTGTCTGTTTACCAACACACAAACCAAAAAATTTATAAAAGCAACCAGATGAGATTCATTATTTCACATTAGATATCTTATACTGAAATTCGTGTACCTTGTTTTTAGGATAGATTGTTAATTAAATATTCAATAAAACCCAAACCAAAATTTCGGGAATTTTGCGTTTAAATATTTTAAAATGTGAGAAATCTTTTTACTTAATAAGGATACAAAGACAGTTAATAATGTTTTGTAAGTTGCATTATAACAAATTTTTTACGATAAATTCTTTAAATCTGTGTCCTTAACGTAACCAAGCATATCTCACTCAGAATTTACACAAGTTACAAAACTTACAATCGGGAGATGGGCGATGGCGGACATTAAGGTGGTAGAGGGAAAGAGGAATTGAAAAGTATGGAACGTGAACAAAGGCACGAGAGCTTGGAAAGAAAGTGTAGGCGTGACGAGGTAGAAAGATTTAAATTGGAAGATAGGGTTTTGGAACAAGCAAGGATATTAGACAGGAGCTTTATGCACTGATGGATTATTGATTTGACTATGTGGTCAAAGTTGTAACAAAATTTAGTGCAGAATTGAGCTTGCATAAAAGCCAGCATCAGCTGTCAGAGGGATATAATCACGTAGTATAAAGAATTTATATTTCCGATGTTGTGCGCGTCCTTTATTAATAAGCGGACGAAAATTATCGAATCATGATTGTGTAAGTTGTTCGGTGGGAGATGTTTTTGAGTTCATAAGAAATTCTTGTTTGTTCTTGATAAAGCCTTCGGAGACACTGCACCAAGATAAAACTTGGGGTAATAACCTTTCCGGAATCAGAGCTCGACTTTATTGAGAGCCTTTTATACAATTTCCGGTAACAAACGTCAATTCATGATAATATAATCTATACTATTTTTTCTATATGGGTGTATATCATTGTATAACCCGTTTTTTACATTTCAATAGTAATAGTGGATAAGGATATTATGTTTGTCGACAAAAGGGGCCTTTGAAATGCGTATGACGTCAAATGTTCACCTTGTCAGGTTCTGTCGCATGCACGCCCAAATAACAATCAGTTGTTATGACCGTGACCATCTCTCGTTGCGTAGTTTGCGCTTATAATACACTCGTCTAACACATTCTCATTATACGTCAAGCCGATATACAATCCTTATTTGCCATTCTCTCCTTCCTGCTGATTAGCCGTGATATCCTCAAAAATTATTTCGTCAGATTCAGACATTTTCGGTGAAGCGTTACTTGTATTTCTACTTTTTTGTGCTTGTTCAATTAATTTTGCGAACTGATCTCTATATTTGGAATGATATTCCTGTGAGTCGATACTTTGCCGCCAGATCCTTGACGCATCCTTCCTGAATTGATCTGTTCTTTGGGTTCGCTCCCAATCCCTTAATATTTGTCGCAATTCTGTCTCTGACTTTGGCTCTGCTGAATCCACATTTGCATTATATAGATTCACGTATTCTGCATGTCGTCTTATTAATTGTTGTCTAACACCATACGTAGGCAAACCCTCTTCCTGTTTATAAATATCGAAACAGACTAAATAAAATGTATGATGATGGAATGTACCATGTTCACTATACCTTTAATAATTCGCGCAATTTATGGTCTTTCATGATCGAATACACACGCTTTGGTTTCTTTCTGATGCAGTTGTAAGCAAACTCGATTAATATCGACAATAACGTTCGTCGTCGTTAGTAGTCACACCACTCACCTTTTTACAACATTCGGACGGCTCTCGCTTACGACCGCCGTTTCCACCTCGCCATTATTTCGTCTGTCGGGCACTGATCCATTTGACGTAATCATCTTACTGTCATCCGTTAATGCTTGTGTTTTGCTATCATTCTCACGCGCATCCGTACGCCCTTTTTCGTCGCCCACACTGCTACGCGCAAGTCTTAATAACGAAGACCTTCAGACCACTGTGTTGTTAGTAATGTGCATTCTTTTTTAAACATTTCTCCGTATGTTACCAAATACGCGTCAATTCGGGCGCGAATACCAGACGATAACCATCTAACCAAAACTAACAGAATGGAAAGAGAAACATTGAAAGACAAATTCAAAAACAATACTCAACCTTGCAATTTTAAATTGCCTCACAATATCTTCAACGGCGTGATTCTTTCGCGTTTCTGACAGCGCAACTGTTACCCGACAAGTAGGACAGGAAGAATTGATAGTTATGTACCGTTGCAGACATAGCGAACAAAATGTGTGAGAACACTTTGTGATCACTGGGGCATTGTAAAAGTCTTTACAGATCGAGCACCTGGTTGCTCGGTCGAAATCTTGATATTCGGGCTGAGGCCAGTCCGAGGGTTCAGAAATATCGTCCAAGTCTGCAAGTGTATCGAATTTGTCTGTCATTTTGTTGTATATGAGTGGAAGATACTTGAATTTACATTTGCGTTGCACAATAAAATTAAAATAATCACGGCACTTTTCCTCTAATACTAATGGATACATGCACTATCGCTACAGCGAAGATGAGTCGGTGCGCGTAGATCTGTGAGTTTGCCAGTGATATATGATCAAATATCATGTGTTCCACGAAATAATTGCAATGCTGTATTCATAGCTGAAGCCCTTATCATTTTATTAAGCAGCTCGTGTTCTTACACTACAAATGGGTATGCATTACAGCAATTTACTACGCGTATTGCACAGAAACTGCAAGTCATCTACGTTCTAAACAACGTGCTTCTCCGGTCCTACTGCTATTCCAAATGAATGTGAAACGCTTCAGCCCGTTCTTATATTTTGGAAAATGTATATATTATTTTTCGTAACACATTAGAATGATGAATTTAAATTATTATGCTAATTACTCGTGAAATGATAGCGTCTATAGAACTGCGTTCATAAGTCGGACAACACGTCCACTGCGATTTGATAATTGTTCAGTGAAAAAAATTTTTCGTTTCGTATGGCATTCTTGCAACTTCTACAATATCTTTTTCAAAACATAAAGTGACTGTTACCGAGAATTAATCTTGTTTCCCTAATCTAAAAAGAGGCCAAACAAAACGCACGTAATAATTGTCCAGATATTGAGGGGGGAGTGTTCCTGATCATCGACTTGTGTTAGTCGCGATATTTGTCCATAAACTCTTTGTGAAACTTTGTTAATAAACCACAAAATTCGTCAAAAAGTTCTTCTGGGGGTAAGAAAGTACTTCGAAAATGCCAGGTGTTATCTTTCTGTCCGAATCCTGATCCAGGTACAACACAGACACCCGTGGCATCAAGCATCGCTAAACAGTAAAACTCGTCTGGTTTTTGGCCGGATGACTTGGCGGCTTCGATGGCCTTTTGGGGTAACTTGATTTGTGGGAAAAGATACATGGCTCCCTGGAAAGCAATCATCACGATTAGACAAGGCACTTCACAGGCAGGGAGATAAAGCCATGCAAATAAAATGTTGAGGCGTGACTCGCACTCGTGTCATCACAGATAACATACCTGGGCCGGATTACAGGTAACACCCTCCATAGAGTTAAACACATCACACAACTTTGCGCTTCTCCTCTTCAGACTCTCGTAAATATTTTTACACTCTTTCTCATACAATTCATAGCTCGGATCTCCACTCTTTGGCGGTTTGACCATCAAATCAACCATCACTTGACCGTGCACGTTAGGACACAGATTCACACTTGCAATTTTGTATAATTCATCCACCACCTTTGGATCTATTCCCGTACACTCAAAATAGCCTCCCCTCCTTCCGCACTCTCCGATCAGACCTTTTGATATCGAATGGAATGAAAACAATTCGAAATCATTATATTTCGGTCCCATGGATTTGAGAATCTTTTTGAATGAATGGAAAGGTCTCTGACTCGGATAGTATACGTTTGCCTGATACACTTCATCAGCCAACAAGATAAGTTTTTCCTGAGAACAGAACTCTATAATCTCTTTCATGTTTTGCTCGCTGAGGCATTGTCCCGTTGGATTACCAGGATTAAGTATAACAAGTGCGCGAACTTCGACTCCTTTTGATCTTGCTTGAGCGAGAGAGGATGTGAGTTCTGCGATGTCTAGACCCCAGTCCTGTTCCTCGTTGAGGTAGTAGGGTACCGGTTTCCCGTTGTACAGAGCGAGTGTAGCGGTATAAAGAGGGTACTGTGGTATGGGAATCATGACGCCAACGTTGGAATGAGAGATTATCAGTTGGAGGACGTTCTGAATGCCTTGTGAGGCACCTTGCGTTAGGAAGATCAAGTTGGGGTCTGCAGGATAGCCATCACGTTCTGATTAAGAGACCGAAGAGGATACACGTGGTTTTATATTATACGGTTAGATTAATCGAAAGCATATTTGATATTAGTGGACATGTTTTCAATCTTTAACCGGGGATCAACACCACCAGCTAACCTTCTATGAACTCGGCAACATCCTTGCGAATAGATTCTATGCCCTGTGAATGAGAATATGCGCCGATAGCTCCTATCTGTTTCAGCAGTCTACGTGCACGTTCGATCGCATCTGGAGGATACAAAGCTTCAACCTTGGATTGATTCTCGGGGAGAAGTAGGTCCGGATAATCTATCAACGAAGCGACCTACACAAACGTGATCGATAAACCGATATTCATCAAATTTTGTTTCGTTCATTTGTAAAGCGTTCAAAGAAACAGCATCGCTCCTTACCTGGCGAAAGAAAGTGATCGGCTTTTGCTCGAGTTGTTGTGGATTACCGATATTACAATTGACTACCTTCTTGAACGTAAAGCCGTTACGTCCATGTTTAGCAATAGCCGTTTTTAAGTCTTCTGCACGAATGGCTAATGCTCCGCGGACAGCATATTTCACACGTCGGACGTGAGGATTGATATTATCATGATGGAGAAGCTTGCGTTTTTTTCCTGGAAAGAATGAAGGAAGACGGGGGGGGATCAATACAATGAATAGCCAACGCTTGCAAAAGATTGTAGACTCTGCGTATGGTTTATTCCTGTATAGAATGAATTATAGACAACCTTCAACTTTTGGCGTGACCGTAGACATTGTTGCTCGTTGTATTGATATTTGGTTGTTGAGTGAACGCAATGTCAACCGTCTGCATGCTGCTTTAATACTAGCTATCATGTCCTAAACGGTGTCACTCTGGTGAAACAACCACGTTGAAAGACAACTGATAACGTTCCCTCGGCGGCAGTGAAAAAGTAGTAACACCTTGCAAGAAGCGATAATTAAATTTCATAGTAACAATATTACGGATCAACAAGGGGCGCGCGGATACAGATTACCAAACAATGGGCCTAATAAAGAAATCGCGCTCCGGATTATATTGATCACCGTCTTTAGTAAGCAATAATTATGTTTGCATTATTAGTCATATTACATATTCCCCTCTCCATACTCCAGGTTCTTTAAAAAACGCCCGATTTATCAACAACTCATTCTAGCTATATTGAGAAATTGTGTAGCAGTAATACGATCGATAACATTCATCCCGTCGCCTTTTACCTTGATCTGCATAGTCTTGAAAATTCCGACGTATAATGTTAATCGGATTTTTTAATAGGGTCGTCCAGAAATACAAGTTTATTATTGGTTACAATACGGAAGATGACGGAATAATGCGGTGAAAGCGGCGTATGCGGGGAAAAGCGGCAGGACTATATCTCCGTCCGGTACGTAACGTTCTTTTCAATATTGACGTAACTAGTCAGCTGACATATCAGGCCTGTTCAATTCTGTTCCAATTTGTGCCGATCCCTGATTGGCGGATTAAAAATCATATGATGAAAACGAATGGGAACAACAAATTTGCAGTTCCTATCTGTTCCCATCCTCATCCCACACACGTTTCATTAATAAGCGTAAAAAATAAAAGGTTATGTTGCGCAAAAGGGTTCTAATGGCTTTTAGAAATATATATATTTTTTGTAAAGAATAACACTTGAAATCTTGGAGCGAAAAGAAAAACAACGGGAACGTGGAAACGCGAAATTTGTCCTCAATTCTCACGGACTTTTGATTGGTTGATACAATTTTGCCGTCGATCGGAACAGAACGGAACGGAATAGAATTGAACAGGCCTATCATGAACAATTCATTTTACCTTAAATGGAGTTGTAGACAGATGTGCAAGGCAGATGAACATTGAACCAAAGCCTAATGATGATAAGACAGTCCCTTTCATATTTCACTTACCAGACGTAACAATGGTTTGCATATCATTCCATATTTACAAGAAAACCATCACGAATTTGACATCACTGCTACAAAAAGACGAGAGGCCGTTAGAACACAACCGGAAAACGTTCGAATTTGCAAATATGAAAGACTTTAGTGTAATAAGGGTAAACCGGCCTCGATTGATCCATGCGAATTCACAGACCAAAATCGCGCTGTGAATGTTTACATATGCGAATTTTTGAATCATGAAAAAACTATTGCTTCTGCCATGAAGGTCATAATCTGCTCAAACGGTTTTGATTTCATTTTCCACGCCGATTTTAGAAATAAAATAATTTTGATGTGGGAAGTAATTGTTTTTTCTAGCAAATTTATCCCAAATACATTGATGTATATGTTTCATGACTTTCCCCAAAATAAATACACTCACCCTTATATCAATGATTTCTAAGTCATTGAATCAAGCCGTCAATTATCTCGGAGATCTGTCAATTATTTTTAGTGGTAATAACGTCACGTACGATAAAGCAATTTAAATTGACTTTCAACATATACAAAAAAAGCGGAATTACAAATTACACATTACGCAAGAATCAATGGCGCAAATAAGATGAATTGTATATAGCTGAGATTTTGAAGGTCTTTATTCAGCACACATGGGTGACCCCTGATTTACTGTGCTTCTTCTACTGAATAAAGCATACATTTTGCATACATAAAATAAATAAGATGACATATAAATATAAAATACATAAGGCTTAATTCATAGTTCTATTCTATGTACAATCTATTTTTTATTTACAAGCGGGTTGACATCTCCCTGAAGGGAGAAAAGGATTAGGTGCTCATTATGAATCAAATGAGCTCGGGTTTAGGAAGATGGTTATAAGGAGCCTATCTGGCCATCCTTTTAGTAGCGCTTCCTTGGTGGTCCTTCGTCGGTAGTGCTCCAGAAGACCTACAAAAGTATGATAGATTCTTGGCACTGTTGTGGTTAGTTCAGCTTGTCTAGCGGCAATATGCGCATACCAGATCGCTTGATGTGCGATTGCTCTGATGAATTGAAAACCGGCAGATTTTAAATGAAAGAAATCAGTGTAGAATGCATTCATCATTACTTTATATGAGCCGTTCACGATCGATACTAACCCAATTAGGGGGATATTCTCTCCGCCACAAATCACTAATACTTTTCGGTATTTCCTTCTCTACATTTTTTAACAATATTCTTGAGATTCTCTACCGGATTCAGATCAGGGTTATTAAAAAGACCAGTCTATAACTTCAAGCGCGTCATCCAAAGAAAGTTTTTTTGCAAGGCGGCTGGTATGTTTTGGGTAATTGTCTTGTCGAAAGCGCTATCATCTCCTAACAAGTCTTTAGTTGTCTCCAGAGTGTGTCTACATAAATTTGTGCATCTTAATTCTTATGCAGAATCCTCTCCAAGCAAAAAGCTTCTTTAACATAAGATTAGGGTTAGTGTTAACGGTTCCAGATGTTCAAGTTTTTAATGTCATCATGAACCATACTATGGAATAATCTTCCGCTTGTATCAGTCTCTTGTCCGGAAGTCATGGTTTTTAGTTAATGTTTTTTGAAGAAATTTTGGGAGCGTTGAGAGAATTTGAGAATAGTATCAGTGAAATACCTATAAACAAGCAGTCGAATTAAAACTCCCTAATCTGACAATCATTACATTTAAATGAAACGCAAATTAGTGGAGATATTCACGATTGAATGTTACAAAAAAAAATCCCTCTACCGAAACATTGTTATACGATACGAATTACACACGTTCACGCATATTATAAACATCAGTTGAATCGCGTCCAGCAGTTTGCTCAAATATGGAATAAGAGAACCTCTCATTATTTGCGATTAACTGACGCTAACGACTATTTAAGGCGGGTACCATGTTATTTGATCTGTTAACAAGCTGCTTTCTATACCAACATTAAACAATTCCTCTCGTTAGGGAGGCAAAATATAACGAGTATAACCACACAGTGATAGCATCAACTAATTAAAGATTGTGAGACATTGATTGTACTACAGCTCACGTGCGTTTAATCTACATCATCAATCAAACGTCTGACATATTGACAGGATAACGAAGGTCAAGCTTGATGAGCAATAAGTGAAGATTCGTACGAATGGCGAGCATCAAGCGCATTTGTAAAACGGGCTTGCCCGCATCTAATGACTCGAAAGTGATTGTGAGTGAAGGTAGGTGGTGAGCTGACTAAAATGGCTTTCCGATGGATTCTCAATGCGGCGAAGACGAGTTAAAACTAAAGATAATGAAACACAAACGGTGTGTAGGCTTACCCCCAGAGATCAATCACATAATTGACTTAGAATGGGGAATGAATTTGATTACTTGTACATTAATCATACAATGCTCGATGATGATCATCAGGTGTTCGTTCTTCTCAAACGATGGCAGAATATTTGTTGTCGAGGACTTGAGAGAGACCTCGATTTTGGAAAGACCATATGCGCAAGTGTATCACACTTTCAAGGAAGTTCTCCAGGGCAAAAATAGACCTTTCGTTATCCTCAGAAGCTAACTTTCGACGTAACGTATTATGGG